TGGACAGTGGATTTCAGGCATCTCCGTCATATTTTCAGGAAAATGGGGGTGGGGTCCCTTGGGCTCAGAGAAATGAAGCCACTTGACCGGGGTCAGAGGGCAAGTGGGAGGGGTGGGACTGGAGTCTCAGAGGGGACAGGACTAGCGGGCGGCCCCCTCTCGGCAGTGGATCCGGGCTTCAAGTGGGGCTTCAGTGGGACCACGAGGGCTCAGGCTTGCCCGGGAGCTCGTCTCCTCTGTCTGGGGAGATGTTTCTGCCACCTTTTTCTCCACAGTGCTGGGCTGGGCCTCCTTTAAGCCCCCAGAACAAGGTGGGTCACCTCCAATCACCCAGCCCGGTTCCTCTCATTGGAAAGGCGTGCCCTTTGGTGAAGGGGAGGATGCATTTTTGAGGTGAAATATTGTATACAGCCAGGAACAGAAAACATTAAAAGACCATGGATGTCAGCAAGGTTCGCACCAGGGCCAGAAAGTTCAGGAAAAAAGGCAAAGCTTCCTTGCAATGAAGGATCAGCCAGGCGGTCCACACCCTGTGTCCCAGGCTTCCTCCATCTTCAGGGTTAGAACAAGCCTTGTCTGGGCCTGGGGAAGGTCCCAGGGTGGTGACCTCAAGAAAGAGTTGCCAGATATGCAGAAAATATGCATATCCGGTATATGCAGAATATGCCCCATATGTATATGCAGCATATGCATATATGCATAATATGTCCCATATAATTTTGCCCTGCATCTTATATTGACCTTGTCAGAATGCCCTAAATGTCTCGTATTCAGCTTTTTTTCCAATAAATTGCAAGAGTTTGGCAATTAGAGCTTTTTTTCTGCCACGGTTACTGGTGCTTGCATCACTTAAATGGCAGCACTGGTTAAAAATCACACACATCCTTCCTAAATAAAGATCTGGACCACTCTTTATGTTCTCTCCTGCAGACTTAGCTGTGGGAGCATCAAAAGAGGGGACTGGCAAGTGTAAGCACTTACTTTTATATTCAAGAAAGGGAGAAGCTATTCTTTAACCAAAATCCCAAGTCAAGAACATAACCACTGTTAATTAGAAGTGACTTGGGTCTATACACAAGGAAAGTCTGAGAAACCGTCACATTCAGTAAGGGTCTGAGCAGACATGATGACTATAATGTGCTGTCCTGGATGGGATCGTGGAACAGAAAAAGGACTGGGTAAAAATTAAGGGAATTTGAATAAACTATGGCCTTTAGTTAATAACAACATATCAATATTGGTTTGCTGACTGTGACAAATACACCATATGAATGTAAGATGCTAATAATAGAGGAAAATGGTTATATGGGGACTCTACTATCTTCATAATTTTTTTGTAAATCTAAAGCTATTCTAGGGGGAAGGGTATAGCTCAATGGTAGAGTACATGCTTAGCCTGCACGAGGTCCTGGGTTCAATCCCCAGCACCTCTGTTAAAAAAAATTAAATTAAATAAATACATAAATAAGCCTAATTACCTACCCCCCCCAAATAAATAAGTAAAACTATTCTAAAATTTTAAATGTATTTTCAAAAAATCCCTTGGGCACAGAGACACTAATGGCTTTCCCTGGGCAAGAAATTGCGTACATTTACCAGGGGAGGAGCGGATTCCGTGTCAGGAAGAGAGCATAGGGAAGCCGGCACAGTGATTCTTCCAGACTCCACTGGGGTCTTTTCCCCTTATGACCTGGCCATGTATTCCTAGCATGACTCTATGACAAGTCTTAGTGATGAACACAACTAAACGCTGAGGCCCATGAGTTCTTCTAGCAAACTTCTGAGTGTGGGGGAGGTCTTGCAGACCCCTGACTCAGTTACCATTCAGGATTCTGCAATTCTCTATCGTTCAAACCCTGTTGGCTCCCTTTAACAAATGCAGTTGTGAGAATGCCAGTTTATTTGAAGCATTGAAGGAATGGTTAAATGCTGAAGAAAAGGCTCCAGTAATCCACTGAGTGAAGACCACTTATTTCTTGTTCATAATTTTCAGTATCTCGTTAGCAATAGGATTATGTATGTTGAAAGAAGAGAAAATAGCTTTCTTATAGAACGCCATTATTTATAGGAATGTGTTGAAGGCATTGAAGAAAGCATTGGCAGAAAAATTTTTTGTCCTTTTCAGTGTTAAGGATGTTCTTAAAGGAAGATTATTTATAAACAGGTAAAGAAATTCCTACTTGACGTGGATAATTATTATGGCACTTACCATGACTATCTTCTGAAATGGTTTCATCCCTAAAGAATTCCATTCTTTTACATGGAGTTACTAAATATTCTTCCAGCATGGGAGCAAGTAGAATTTTCATGTGCAGTGTTGAAAAAGGGAATAGAGGTTGTTGACAATGCTCTTTTTTTCCCCAGTGGACATTTTAAAAAATCGTTGATCAAGAGATGCAGTGCAATCCTGAAGAACAGAAAATCAAATTAGACCTTGAAAGATGATATTATGTGTTTCTTCATATTTGAAGAGCAGGTCTCAGAGTTGTTAAATTTATATGCCAGTATGTGCTCAGTAAACTGGCTCATAACACTAATGTTGAGTGTATTGGTTCATTAATAAATGTTCAATAGACAAAAGAATGCAATGAGTTCGATGTGGTCACTGTAGAAGCTATGCTAGAATGCAATGGAATTTAGATTGTTACTGTAAGGAAATTTGCAAGGAATGGTCCAGTACCCCTAGGAAGTTACCACTCAAAGCTTGAAAGAGCAAGGCACAGGAACAGATCTTAGAATCCTGAGAAAGTATAGGGATGGATGCAGCCAATTCACAGCAATCTGGTCAGGAAGTACTCATACCCTACCTCACTCTCCTCCTTCCCTTGAGTCTCCTGCCAGTGCTTCCCGCTAGAATCTGGAGGTCAAGGAGGCATTTGGGGGCAGTCTGTACAAGTTAACCTTCTGGTGCCCAGAATAGGATCAAGAATGGATCTGGAGAGACAAATCGAAGATGCCCAGCACAGTCATAAAGAGGATGAGATGAGATTCAGGTTAGAGAGGACCTACGTAGGAAAAAGGCTGTGTTCATTCCCAGCCTGGTGGAAAACGTCATCTCAGTGTGACAGCTGTGCAGCAGGCCCACAGAGCCCCCCGTCTGGACTGGAGAAGGAAAACAGAGGTCTCTGGGTGGAAGGTCTTCAGGCTGGGTGTGAGTGAGAAGGAAAAAAAGAAATGGATAAGTTATCCGACCGGACTGAGCACATGGAAAAGTGAGAGGTTGTTGGGAGGTATTGGAAAATTAAC